AAAGCCACCCTGAGAAATTCCCTGTGTGGCACAAGGTTGATTCAGCTCCAGCCAAGGAACCATAAATAGTTCTAAGGAGCACCCAAACTGTGCCCACCCCGGTCAAAATGACCCCATCCTGGTGGTCAGGTAATGACTAATTTTGGTAAATAACATCTTCTCGTCACAACTGTCCTTGTGGGCAACTGTTAGTAACAATTTTGAAATTCCCCTAGCCCCCACGTCAAGGAATCCAAAGGTCACCTACTCTTACCCAATCCTGAACAGCCAAGTCACTTACCACCCTGCTTGTGGTTTTTTCCCTTTATAAACCCCTTATAATTGAGACCAGGTACCCTTTCCTGCAGCTGCTGTGCCACTTTGCTGGACAGGGTCCCTGCTGAGTCTTGTAACTTAACATTAAACCTTATTCGTTTGCATCAGTGAGTCGACTCCTTGGTGGTCTTTTTTTTGAGTCTCACGAACTGGGCATTAATGGCACTAGATGCCTGAATTAGTAGCTGAGAGCTACATCCTGATCCACCACAGACCAAGAGCAGAAACTGGGTCTGGCTTGGGCTTTTGAAATCTCAAACCCCATTCCCAGTGGCACACTTCCTCTAACAAGACCACGCCTATTCCAACAAGGTCACGCCTCCTAATCCTTCTCAAATAATGCCACTCCCTAATGACTGAGCATTGAAAATATGAGCCTATGAGGGCCATTTTTATTCAAACCACCACACTGTTCTCCCTCTGTAGTAGCTGTGTCTTGGATGTACACCATAGGAGAGAATAGGTTTGCAAATGAAGAGGCAGCATTTCCTATTATTTCACTAGATGGCTGTCAAACTTGCCCCCTGAGAGGCTTCCATTGGTCAAAGCACTAGACATTCAAGCAGCATCCTGGCCCTGCTGACCCCTGTATACTAGCTGGCCTTGCCGGGTCATGCTGGCCATGGAACTGTACCCGAGAGGTTCCCAACTCTGTAGATTTCCACAGTACAATCAAGTGCCAGGATGTAACCAACCTATTTAATATGCAACTCAAATGTAACTCTCTCTCTACCCCTTATTTATTTTTAGTTAATAAAACTGCTTAAGAGGGATGAAATATACCCCCCTTCTTCTGAGAGTGTTTGGATGAATATGGACTAACCTTGATCATGAAATGAGGAAATCTGTTTTTCAATGTATTTAGACTCTGTGTTTAACAGAATACCAAGGTTGATCGTGAAAGCAGAAAGGAGAAAAGGTTTAGATAGAAGTGTGTGTATGGGGATTGTGTCAACCATCTCAAAACATCTGTCTCCAGCTTTTGGGAGGCATTGGGGTCAAGGCCCTTCAAATCTGTGTTGACCTATCTATCCGTTGACCGTCATCTGAGACTGACTGCTTAGAAGCAGGTGGTCTAGTTAATGGAAGATACATCCTCTTCACCACTGTTGCTCATGTGCACACTCCATGTTGCACCTGCAAAGGGTTTCATTCCCTCTGAATCATGAGTTCCCAGGCCAAACCCCAGATCCTGGAACCCCAGGTCAGGTTTGAAACCAAATGCTTCACTTGCTAGTCTAAGATTTTGGGCATGGACCTTCCTACTGACTCCTCTCAAACAGAGGCGGGGCTACTACTATCAGTGTACTCATGAAACCCTTTTCTATTTTCCTTTTTAAAACTGAAATACAATTACATCATTCCCTCTTTTCTTCCCTCCCTCCATTTCTTGATCTTTTAAATTTTTATTTTTTTAGCATTTTATGTGTATGGGTGTTTTGCATGCATGTATGTCTGTGCACCACTTACATGTCTGGTAAGGCCAGAAAAGAGCATCAGATCCCCTGGAACTGGAGTTAGATGTAGTTGTGAGTGGCTATGCAGATCTTGGAATGAACCTGGGTTCTCTGGAAGAGCAGCCAGTGCTCTTAAACATTGAGGCACCTTTCCAGTTCTCTTTATCTTTTTAAACAAAATAAAGCTTGAGTATTTTTCTGTTTACAAAAGGTTTTTAACACAGATTTAGTTTGGATATCAAGGAAAAGAGAGAAGTGTTTACAAGGGCAGTACACACCAATAAGATGTGGATGCTGGCGTCTCAAGAGCGAGTTGCCCCATTTCCCCTCTTTCTCCTCCTCTTCTCTTTCTTCTTTTGGTATTTTGAGACAGGGTTTCTCTGTGAGTCCTGGCTGGCAGTCCTGAAACTCTCACTGTAGACCAGGCTACCTGGAACTCAGAGATCTCCCTGCCTCTGCCTCTCAAGAGTTGGATTTAAAGTTGTGAGCCACTATGCCTTCCTTCTTTAATGTAAGTTAGCTTATATTTTCCAAACTCCCTTTCAGTTTTGGGAGTACTTGAATAACTTTGAGGTCAGACCACCAAATCCCACCTATGTGGATTCTCTCACTTTTATCTGGCTGTTGGAAGCCAACACCTAGTATGACTTTGGCAATCATGGGTTGAATATGGAAGAACTTTTGTCAGCTGACTGACTCCTGGATACAATTGTCTAGAATGAAAAACACTTTGTGTTGAAGGTATAGGTGGAATTACAGAGATTTAAATAATTTCACCTTACTGTGCCTCATAAGGAAATTCTTTGAAGCTTTCTTAATTTTGACTTTTTCCTAAGTGTTTTCTTTGCCCACTGGCTGTAATGCAATAATGACTGTTCCAAGAGAGGAGCCCTTTCATCTTGTAGCCTGCCCTGTAGAAACCCCTTTCTCACCCAGGTTCTGAGGAGACACAGACTTCTCCTGAGTGCCCATTGCCTCCTCTGCGCCACTGTCCTCAGAGCAAGCACTTTCTCTTTAGAGATGTGTACCAGCCACATTGCTTTCTTTCCTCCTTCACCATTGCTCTTGTATGGCTTATCTGCCACCATCCCTAGGCTGTGCTGGCTGGCTTCCCCACCTTCCTCTCACTAAGGTTCATGCCACTCCAGATACTGTTTCCCACTAGCAGTGGGGTGGCTCCATGTGACATGGTCATAATGTACTTGATCAACTTTGTTTCCTGATGTCACAGAGGCTTTCCAAATCCTCCTCCTGCCAGGCTTCTCTCCCACCAACACATCCTTTGATCCCACAGATGAAGCTGAGGTGCTCTGATGTGCATTCCCTCAATCCTTTGGCTGCTCTGTGTCCTGTTTCCTGACTTCTGGTTTTAAAGTCACTCTGACGTGGTCCTATGACCCCTGTCTCCATCTGTGTCCTTGATCCATTTCAAAGACCAATTCTGAACCAATTTATAAATATAGTCAAATTTCTTTCCTCAAAGAACAGTGACAACAACAAAATTCCCAGAAAGAAAAATACACATTCATTCCCTCATTCTCCCCTCATTTGTCCACCTACTATTTGCTTCCTTCTTTAATGCCACCTGGGACCCCCAAGCCAGACATCTCCCCTTCACAGACACACTCTACAATTGGTGTAAGTCCTGAATGTCTTTTATTCCCCGAAGCTCTCCTATCTGTGGGTCTGACCTGTGCAGCCCCTACCGTCTTCAGTTCAGAGCCTTGCAGGGGTCTCTTGGCCAATGCTCTGCCTTGGTCTTCTTGACTCTTTCCTGCCCCCAGAGTTATCTTTATAAGAAAAGAATGTTAGTGCTACCCCTCCTCCACCAGACCCTTTAAGGTTCCTGTTTTGTAAAAGGCAAAGTTCAGTCTCCAGGGTGAGGACTCTGAAGCCTTCAGTGCCTGCACCTATCCTGCTGCCGTCTCTTTCCTCAGTCTCTTGCCATTTAGTCCTTTGGGGTTCTTGAAATCCCCTGTGCTCTTTTACACCACTCTGCCTGTGCTCTTACAGTTCCCCCTGCCTGGAAGACTTCACCTTCCCTCCTACCAGCTGGTTCCACCTTAACTTATTCTTGCAGTGCTGGTCCTGGAACCCATGTCTTATTTTTGTTGGACAAACACCCTACCACTGTGCTATGTTCCCAGCCCACCGTCTGTCTGTCTGTCTGTCTGTCTGTCTGTCTGTCTGTCTGTCTGTCTGTCTGTCTCTGCAAATGGGTGTCAGTATGTAGGACCATGTGTGTATGTGTCATGGCTAGGGATCAGCATTGGATCTTCTTCTATCATTGTCTCCCTTGGTTTTGAGAAAGTCTGACTAAATCTGGTGCTTGCTATTTAGGCTAGACTGGCTGACAAGCAAGCCTCAGGACATGCTGGTCTCCACCTTCATCCTAGCTGGGGTTAAAATCCTTCTTGCCACTCTCATTCCACCCCTGCCATGGGTTTTAGGGATCTAAACTCAAGTTCTCATACAAGTATTTTACCCATGGAGCCATCCACCTCCCCAGCCCAGAACCTTGGATCCCCCCATTTCACCCTCCCTAGTGCTGGGATTATAGCCATGTGTCACCAAACTACTTAACTTTTGAGTTTAATTCAGTTCAGGCAAAGCTTCCTCTAGATTTTCTCCTTGAGTTCCTAGAGTTAAATGGATCTGGCTCTGTTTTTCAGCATACACTGCTCTTCTGACTGGAACCGGAGATGGGTTCTCTGTGCTGTGACCCTGACTTGCATGCAGTGGACCAGACACCTCATTTAGTGCCTGGCACTTGGCAGGAGCTCTCTGTCCCTTCTTGGTGCTGATGGGAGGTGGGCATTGGAAGATTTTAAAAAAAAAAAACAACTTTACTAAAAAATCTTTTTAAAAATGTATTTTATGTGTATGGGTGCCTGGTCTGCATGTAAGGTACCATTATGCATGCCTGGTACTCCATGGGGGCCAGAAGATGACATCAATCCCCTGGGACAGGCTTTAACAGTTGGTTGTGAGTCACCATGTTAGTGCTGGGAGTTGAAGGACCGCCAGTGTTCTTAACTGCTGAGCCATCTCTGACCCATGGACAATTTTGTTTCCAACTACAGAAGGTTTTTGGGCTGATTATAGGTTGGTAAAAGTGCCTGCTCCCTCACATGCCACCTGATTCTTGGGGACCTTTATCTGTTATATGGTAGTCCCGGGCAGACCAAGTCGTCACCACTGTCTACTCTGCTGAAGGCATAGTCATTGCTACTGGGATGGCTCTTCTTCCAGCTGCAGCTGAAGGAAAACACCTGCAAGGAAAAAGTGAAGTGAGTGCTGGGAGCCAGGACCAGGAGAGCAGGAGTGAACTGAGGGCAGGGACCACTTGCTTCACATTGCCCATCACCTGAAGCTGTCCTGTGGTGCAGGTTGCCTATACCTCACTTAGGAAAACATTTTAGTTTTGTTCTCTTTCTCTTCATCCATGTCTCTAGCAGGTACCCAATCCACTCCTAACAGGGCTAGACCCCAGCTTGGGACTAGATCATTAGTTCTCCCCTTCCCCTTTGTTGTGGGTTGGGTTGTGGCAGGCCCAGCCTGAGGATGAGGGTCTTTACCAGAGCACTTGGCATAGACTGTCTGCTTGTCTCTGCTCTGGGCGATGCAGGACATGTAAAGCTTCTGGTTCTCAATCTTTTCTACTTGAGTGTCCAGGACAGCCAAAGAGCCCACGGGGATCAAGCTGGAAGAGGAGGTAACTGAGTTCATTTCTGTACCTGTTCCCCACTTTGGCCTCCCTCCTTTTCTTACCTCACCCTGCCTCCAGGACTCGTAAGCAGCCCTAGCTAGGTTCAGGGGCTGTTTGTTAATTCCTGGTGTTGAATGACAGAGATTCGTGTCTAGCCCAGGACTAGAGAAATGCTTGGCTGGGGAAAGAGACTTGCAGAACTTACACAACCCCTTGATAAAACAGAGCTCTGACATCAGCCATGGCCCAAGGATGCACACTTACTTTTTAAACCTGATGTTGAGACTTAGTGTGAATAGTCCTTCTCCAGCCAGATAGGCAGTTTTAGAAAATGTCTCATCCATCATGGCTGCCAGTGACCCTCCATGGGCAAACCTGGAAATCAGGATGGGGAGTAAGACTAGGGCTAGGGCTGCTTCTCAATACTTGGGAGGTAGAAAACTTCCCAAGCTTTTCTCTTTCCCCTGAGTCCCCCAAACATGCATCTGCCATCTTAGGCAGCCAAACAGGAAAGGCACATACACAGATACACCCCGTGGGCTTCAGTAGGTCAAAAGAAACTGAACTTCTCTCCTTTTGCTTGAGCAGGTGTCAACCACTGATACAACTATTTTATCAACCACTGATACAACTATTTTATTGCACCAAGAGAATTTTCTTTTCTCCACAAAATTAATAGAGACCATTTTTCTGATTCATCACCTAATGCTGGCTGCAGTTGTCACATTTTAGAAGGCTGCATACATTGTAAGGAGTATAAAAAACCCTGAGCTTTTGGACTTAGTCTTTTGTTGTTTTGCTTTTTGAGCCATGATCTCACTGAAGCCCAGGCTAGAATTGAACTTGTGACAATCCTGCTTCAGTCCCCTAAGCTGGGATTGTAGGTGTGAACAGCTAAGATTTAGTCTTCGAAACATGAATGTGGGCCATCTCTCACCCTACCAGTCACTCAGTCAATGTTGGATCCACAGTTTCAGGACAGGTTAATTAACTTATGACTTATTAAAGGGCCAGCCAGGTAGACTTCTGAGCAGTACTGCCTGGAAAACAGTAGAGCCCACCTCTTCAGTGTGATAGCTCAGGCATTTGGTAACTTCAAGTATGTAAAACCTTCATTGTCACTTACGCAAACTGACTTCATGACAAGGCTTTGTCACTGTTGGTTAAGCTAGGGGAGACTATGAAGGCACTCTAAGAGAATATGCAGATGATATAAAATAGATCTAGGCTTGGAAAGCAAGTGCACTTCATCATGGACCCAGGCCAGCTGTTGTTGCTGTTCTGCCAAGGCTGCAGTGGGATCCTCAGGAGGCCCTCGTTCCTGCTGTAGTGACATCACACCACTCACTACCTCTGTGTTCTTGAACACCTTGATAAACCATTCTGAGCCTTCATTTCCCCACCAGGTATTGTGAATAAAAAGAATTCACTGATTAAGTGCCCCAAATCTCACACACACTTCTGGGCACTTGCCTCCATTGTTGTGAAGAGAAAATAAGTTGGTGCCAAGACCTGCCCTTGCATCTCTGTGTTCCCTGCCCAGACAAAGGATTCACTGGCAAAATGCTGATTCTGCAGAGCAGTTCTTGGCCAATGGGCAGTTCCTGCCCACTTGCATTGCCTGGGAGCCAGGAGACGGTACCTCTTTTCTATACTCTCAGTCCACTGGCTGGCCTCAGTGTTGGATCATCTGCTCCTCCTCTTTTTATAGCTGCACACACCCCTGAATGGAATGCATGCACACTTCTCTCTACCCTGTCTCCTTGGGGATTTCTTCTTCAGAAGGGAAGGGATCCATGGCTTCTCAGCACTTTTATTTCTGGAACATTCTGAGGCTTCAATAAGGGGTTCTTCATACATGCACAGTGGAGCCTGGAGAAGCTAAGTCAAATTGTCCTCACAGGCCTGGCATGGAGAAGATGATACTCAGTTCCTTGCACCCCAATTTTAGGTCTTTAGAGACTGCACGTCCTGGTGGGGGCTGGACCAACTCTGCTGAGCCAAGCCTTCAAGGAATCCACCCTGACCTTTCTGAGGTCTTACCCTGGTGCCCCCTCTAGGTAGGGGCCTGGCTGGAAAAGACAGACTGACTTCTTCTCAGATGGGTGGAAAAAGATGACATATTCATAGCCTTGTCCTTCCAGTTGGATGCATCTGGTGAAGATACGCCAGTCCTGTTTGTCTGGGGAGAGATGACAGTTTTGAAGCAGAGATACCTCAGGGCACCTGTTAGGATACAGCATCATGAGCTTAACAGGAACAAGGGGAGAGAACCAGACACCCCAGCTTGGTTGTTAGGGAGCCTTTCAGGGGAGAAGGGGACAAAACATGCTCCTTGCCCCTTGTCTTCAGAGCCTGTGTCCTGGAGAGGGGGCAAAGCTCATAAAGTATAGGGCTAACAAACATTCTACCAACTGAGCCATATTCTCAGCCTGGAAATAATTTTTTTCCCCAAGACAGGGTTTTTCTGTGTAGCCCTGGATGTCTTGAAATTCACCCTATAGACCAGGCTAGTTTTAAACTTATGAATCCCACCTGCCTCTCCTGGGACTAAGGGTATACACCACCATGCCTGTCTTGGTGCCTTTGCTTGGTCTATACCATGAGTCTAAAAGTCCTCTACCAGTTATGTCATCCATTCATCATTGAGAAGCAACCACATGTATGAATGAAAAAGAAAGAAAATACAGACACACACACACACAGACACAGACACAGATACACACACAGAGGGCAGGGCAGGGTAAAAGTGGGGGCTCTGAAAATCAAATTCACTGCATGTCTTAGAGTGCCACCTCACCTGCTGAGGCCTGCAGTAGGTAAGAGAGGCCCAAAGGTTTTATACAAGGCTGGGAAGGAAGGGTGGGGACAAAGCTTAGCTGAGGGAAGAGTCATTAGTGAGAAGCCAGAAAGAGCAGAGCCCTGTACTGGCAGCACTCCGGCTGGAATTCAGCGGGGAGCTAAGGTGCCCCTTGTGTGATCCCTTTCACAGAGAAGTAAAGGAGCCAGTCAGAGAGACCAGTGCAGACATGCTTTCCATCTATGGCTGGTCTGCAGGAGAGGGAGGAGTAGGCAGCAGGAAGAGTCTCCAGTGTGTGGGGCTCATGAATTTCCTTCCTGATGTCTTAACTTTTTTTTATTGTACTAATTTTTGGGGAATTTCATACAGTTTATTTTGATAATATTCACACTCTTCCCTTTGGAGAAAAGTTCTTCTTCTTCTTCTTCTTCTTCTTCTTCTTCTTCTTCTTCTTCTTCTTCTTCTTCTTCAACAGTTTCTTCCAACATTTTGCATTATGTTTATTTATATTTATTTCATGCATTGGTGAAAACATACATGTGGGACCACTTGCCACCATGGCTAGCCTTCCTGATGTTTTCAAACCAGAGAAACGCAGCAGGCTGAACTGACTTAGGGTTTCAGGCAGGGTCCCCTACTGTGGGTAGAGGAGTGTGTGTGTGTGTGTGTGTGTGTGTGTGTGTGTGTGTGTGTGTGCTTCTGGACCCTTTCAGACTTGGTCTTACCTGAGGCAGCTGCCAGCCCGGATGGGAGCTTAAGCCCCTGGATATGTTCTCTGTTGGACTTGAAGGAGAACAGTTTAATCCACCTGCCTGACTTGGTTTTCTCCAGAAATTCTTGGTACAGGCTCAGCATATCTGGACACCAGCTGGCATTGGGAATGGCATAATCCTTTAAATCTGTTTTCTCTGGACAGAATCTTGCAACCTAAGCAAGAAAAATCAGGTTGGCATGATGACATCTTGGAAGTTGGGGATTGTTCTTGGGTTATGGGACCATCATTTAGTCTATTTCTGGGTTTGGGGGGTTTGGGGATTTTCAGTCCTGTTTGCTGGAGTGTTACCAGAAGAATGAGCCCATCTTCCTTGAAGGGGGTTTGGAGACACAGCAGATGAGTGGCATAGGGGTGTTAAAGAGCAAAGAAGTGGAGATGTCTGGGATGGGGCTGGGGGCTGGCCATTCTAGCTGCACTGTGCAGAGGCACAACATTGTTACTGTGTGTAGTTTCCTGGAATGGAAGGCTGCTACTATTAGTCCCATGGAACAGGTGGGGGAGATTGGGTTTAAGGTTTTTACACTTGGGAGAGGGACAGTTAGACACTGTTTCACTGAGGGTAAGCCTGCAGTTGGTGAGAGATATTTATTATCCTCTCACTACAGGATCTAGTTAGATTATGAACCTGTCTGGTAGCTCCTTTGAAATGTTTTCAGGCTCCAAGGAAGTGTAATAGCACAACCAGGGTCGGGGCAATGTGGTCATCTGCCACATGGCATGCATTAGTCACTTCTGAGGGTAGTAAACATTTGGTTGCCAACCCACAGACAGGCCTCAGTTGAACCCTATAAGAGATTTGCTGGTGGCCACACAGGATTTGGACCAGGATTTGTCCTACTAGATTTAGTTTGGGATATGGCTTAGTAAGTACCCCAAAGCATTTTCCCTTTGCCAAACCAAACAGCTCCGTATCAGCCCAGACATAAGGCAGGAAAATTGGATTTAGGGTGCTGGAACCCTAGACCCTTAGAGAGGAAGGGAGCTCATCTGACTCCTTGGGAACTTACCAGAGAATCTGTGGAGGACCCAAATGCTGAGGCCTGGTGGAGTCTGGGAAGGAGATGAGGGTTTCTTGGGAGAGCTTTGTGGTGGACGAGTCTTGCCACCCTCTGGAAGCCTGTCTTCATCATGGCTTAGTGCCAGGATCCTGGCTCTGCTTGGAGAGAAGACAGAGGCTGACTCCTAAGGACCAGTGAGCATCAGGCAGTGTTGCTGGGACAATGGTGAAAAAGCCTCCCACCAGGTGCTCCTGATGCAGGCTTTCTTCTAGCAAGGAGCTCTCACTGAAGAGAGGGTGACCCTGCAAGACTGGGCTGGACTGGTACAACACCCACAGGCTTGGAGGCCTTTAGCTTGTCCCAGAGCCCTGCCCAGTGCTGGGGAGGGGCAGGTGCTGCTTGAGCATGAATGGACAGGAGGACGTACTTGTGCACAAACAAGTAGTGTGGGGAACACAGGGCCTCAGAGAGCTGCTCTGCATTTTTGGGGGCAGAAGTCAAGAAAATTTCCAGAAAGATCACAGTTTGTCGTGTTAGAATCCAGATTGGATGGCAGCACATGTCAGGATACCCGCAGCATCCCCTCCCCACCCACAGATACTGACAGATACCCATTGAGAGCACTGCCTGTGACACTCTAGCTGACAACTCCTGGGCACCCAGATTCCTCACCTGGGGGAAATCTGCAGGCTCCAGGACATCCAAAGGCCATGCATGGCCACAAACCCTGCTCCCCAGCCTCCTTTCTAGATGCCTGTTGGGAAATCAGAGGACCTGGCTGCCATCTCATGCTGTGAATGCCTCTTCTTCCTCAGAGGAAGGGACCTCACTTCTGCCTCCTGGGCCCAATTCTACTTCCGGAAAGCTGCCACACTGACTGTCCCTGAACTTTCCTCAGAGCCCCTACCATTCTGCTTCTGTCAGTCTGCCCATGGCAAATAATGCTTCTAATAAACTCCATACCCCCAACAATCTGTCTCACTGTTCCTCCTGAAACCCACTCTAAGACCTTTCATATCTGTGCCACCATCAGTGGGACATTTGTTGCATGTGCTCTGTGGCATGATTTTGAAAGCTCTGATATGATCTGGTGACTCAAACAAACAAACAAACAAACAAACAAACAAACATCAAACTCAGCTCAGAGCCTTAGACACCTTCTTCTTGTGTCCTAGGCAAGAGTTAGCACAGAGGAGCCTCTGCTTGCTGGTTCTTGGCTAGTGATAGGAGTTGGTGGGGATTAGGGGAGTACAGGAGATCGCTGAGAGGAAGATGCTTAGCAAGGGACCTTGTGTGACTGGAACTCCAGGGAAGGAATGATGACAGCATTCAGCTCTGGGAATGAGGTGGGGTAGGCAGTGAAGGCGTTGTGCAAGTGCTATTGGGTGCCCGCCAGTGATGACCCCTCAGACACAATTTATAGCCAATTGAAAGTCTTTATTCCAGCTGTCTGAGACTACACAGGTATTTGGGGACCCAAGTTTTGGCCTTGAGCATTTACACAATGGGGCTTTTAAAGGTAAAAACCATATCCTGGTATCTGACTCAGCAGCTGTAGGGGGAGGTTTGCACAAGCATGCAATTTAACACAAGCTAAGATAAGTTATCTGGGACATCTTGACCTTGGGTCCTAGAATGGAGTTGGGTAATTTTCCGTGGTGATTCTCCATCAAGGAGATCACATTCTTGTTAAACTTGAAATGGCCTCAGCAAAAAAAATACAAGATGGAGGAACCTCTGCCCTGTCTTGCCCGGTTACACAAGCAGGCCTAGAAGCTTTGGTGGCTTATGTGAGTGTGACAGACTAAGAGTTAGATGAACTCTCTGGTAGGCAGACAGGCAAGGAGAGGGCCCAGGGCTAGGTTAGAGAGGTGATGAATTTCCACGATGGCTAGCTTCTTCTCCATCTTCTTGACAAGAGTCTAACTGCTTAAAAGAAAGGCCTTATAGTCCTCTGTTTTCCACCTACCCCTGCTGATGAACTGGTTCAACAAGTTCAAGGCTGGGTCTGGACATGTTACAGTTTTGAACCAATCAACCATCCTATCTGTCTTCAAACCAACCAACCCTACATTAAAGGACTAAAACTCTAAAGAGGCTTTTCAGCCCCTACCAGTAAGAGATTTCTGCTTTCTTTCCACTCCTATTTTGACTTTTTGGGATGAGAAGGTCCACCATGTGCCTGTCCCGTCATTGTACATTGGAAGCATATAGCTTGGATTTTGCATTTTACAGATTGCTCACAGTCCTTGACCGGCTTTGCAGAGGGTCTTTTTCTCTGTATGTCTACTGTGTGTACGTGTTTATTCACTCCCATTAAACACTTTTTTCTGCTGCTGATTTTGTCTGCTGCTGTCTGAGGTGTTTAAGATTTCTCTGCTGCTGCATGTTGTGCTCCATCCAGATTTTTCCTGACTTTTAATTCTTTAACTGGCAGAGAAAACGAGCCCTATCATGACCCCTAGTCTGTATCAAGTATTCAGTTAATGACTGCAAAGTTGTGAATTTCTTTTTCTTTTTTCCCTTTGGTAGCACTGGGTTTTCTATTGAATTAAAACCACTTTCTTCTCTTCTCCCTTCCTTCCTTTCTCCCCCTCTTTCTTTTATTCTTGAGACAGGGTCTTGTTATATACCTCAGGTTAGCTTTGAACTTAGGATCATCTTGCCATAGCTTCCTGAAAGCTAGGATTAATTGTAGATATGTACTAACAGACCCAGCAAAACTTCCAGCTTTCAACAAAAAGTTCTGGTTTTAAACTTCTTAAAATAAATGGCAATGATATTTTAGCAAGTGCTGAAAGATCAAAGTGATTTAGTATGACTGGTAAAGGTTTGTCTCATTACCAACAGTGTCATTTTGTCAGCCACACAAAATGCCAAACACTGAGAAAACGGGTTCAACAAGGAGTTTACTTGGTTGAATTCCACAGGATTTGGTCTTGCTTTAGTCCCATTCCTCTTGCTACTCATATTCTTCGTTTGGAATGGGAATGTTCACTCTGTGCTTATCCCACCATTGTATGTTGGAAGCATATGGTTGTATTTTTAATTTTGCATGGGCTTGCAGCTCAGAGTTTGTCTTGAGTCTCAGAAAAGATGTTGGACTTTGAGCAATGTTGGGATTATTAAGACTTTGGGAACTCTTAGAAAGCCTTTGAACAAATTTTGCATTGTGAAATGGTCTTGAGCCTTTGGGAGCCAGGAATGAAATGTTTGAGTCTGGGATGCTAATGCATTGAAGGCTAAGCGATGTTTAATGGTGGTGTCTTTGGAAAAGGGATTGGATCTGTGTGTTCATTAACAGGTGGATTTATAACTTGAGGAGTCATGGAAGGAAATGACATTTAGGAGGTGGGTCCTAATTGTAGGATGTGGGTCCTTGTTGCCACATCCTGAGGACCATGTCTCATTCCTGGCCTCTTAAGTTCTCTTTTTCTGTTCCAAGCTGCATGAGGTGAGCAGGCTGGCTCCATCACACCTTTGCCTTTCCACAGATCTATAAACAATGGAACTAGCTGACCATGTTGTAAAACTTCTGAAACCATGAACCAGAGAGAGCTTCCCTCTTCTAGGTTGATTTTCTAAGGTGTTTTGTCAGTGATGAAAGTCTGGCTAAATAAAATTTCAGATATTTGCATAATTATGCTTATGTAAATTTGTTCTCAGCCTTGCCACATACCTAGGGTTATTCTCTTTCTTGTGTAACTTTTGTTTTTCCTGAGTTGATAATTACTAAGGTTTGGCAGGGAAGTATAGGGAACAGAGGAGCCAAGTAGTTGTGCTGACCAACCTTAATTTCCTAGCTGGGAAGGAAGGGTATTCAGGATGGGGAAAATAAACCCTTTGGTGACATCTGCAACATTTGAAGAACAGATTTATCTGGCTCAAGGACATGCACAATGTTGATAACTAGAAAGGTATCTAAAGGGAAGAGACTCTGAATTAGAAGGAGAGGAGAGCTGTGGAAAGCTGTCACAGAGGAGGAAGACAGAACCACAAGAAGCCACCTTCCAACCCTCCACCTTTGTTTCCATCTGCAGCTATGTACATCTGAGGGCTTTCTGTAAAATGGGGTTTTCTTAGGGCTTTTTGGTCAGCTGTCCAGGGAGGTAGAAGGGGCTTGGCTAAACGAATGCCTCAGATAGTTCAGACCCTTCTCCATCTATAAGAATTTAGTTATACACACACACACACACACACACACACACACACACACACACACACACACACACACGACAACTCAGGTCACAGTAAAGAAAGCCTGCACTTTGACCTCTTTGGAAAAGTAAGTGGAAAAAGTGAAACCAGTGAGGGCTTGACACAACTGAAAAATTTCATCAAATTCTGATTCAGTTTGTTACCCTGCCTGGTTTGTTCCCAGTTTGGGGCTCAATTGTGAGTTTTGTGACTTTTTTACAAGCACATCCTGGGCCTGGTAGTTCTAAGATGATCCAGCAGTCGTACGCCGAGGCATATTTAATGATCTGCTCTGGAGTTAGGGATAAGGTGGAAGTGGAGGTGAAGTCACATTTGCAGAATTTGCCAATTTCTGTGATGCAAAAATTCCTTTATGGATGATTTTAAGTCACTGTCCAGTCTGTGCATCTGGACAGCGGTATGCACAGCCAGCTCTGGTGAATGGTAGGAACTTCCTGTTGCAGGTCATGTACAGTCAGCTCTGGTGAGCATTGGGAACTTCCTGTTACAGGTCACAGTGTGAGTTGTGGAAGTGAAGCAGCTGCATCAAGATCTCATTAGGTTCAGTTGATTAATCTTTGCCCTAGATCTGAACTCACTTTCATTTCAGTATGTTTTGAAATGTTGTTTCTCCAGGGATGACTAAAGGTTAGGCCTATCCATTTTGTTGTCCCTTGAACAAATGTCCAGGACATTTAGTCACCAACATTTCTAGAAAGCTTTCTAAGTCTACCTCTTCTTGGGTGGCTGGGGAAGCCCTCTTAGATAAATCTGTTCCCCTGATGTGGGCTGGCTCTATGCTGTGATGTGGAAATCCCAGCATTTTGGAGTGATTTTGTCTGGGATGACTAGCCTTTCTGGATGAGGAACAGACTTCCCAGATATCATTCCTAGGCAAGTACTCTACTCACTGAGCTACACTCACAGGCAAGACA